CGAGGTTAGATTTAAGTTTTAGCACGTGACAATTGATATCAAAGCCAAGGAAAAGAGATGATATCGACGAAGGATCAACCTGCACCAGAGTTGCAGTAAGTTGAGTGACATGATGTCCACTCTTGAAGGTCGAGTAGCTAGAATAGAGTTAGTTGTGGGAGAAACAATGGACAGGCTTGAGGAATTGGTGGCCAACATAGAGGATTTAAGTCTAAAGACAACGAGCTTCGTGGAGGATTGTAGTCAACCCTCAATAAATCGATGGAGATGTAGAGCCATTGAGATTCAATATGAGAGAAGTTGATGTGTGCGTCAAATACATATATATAATGGGAGATCAAATACCTAATTAGTCTAATTTAGCCTAGATTTAGGATTAGATTTAGGTATTTTTAGTTATTTTATTAGTTTAGTTTAATTTATATTTAAATATCTATTTTTTGTTAATAATGTTAGTTTTATGTTATTTATATTCATTTTTATGTTTTTGTAAGAGTAGGATAAAAAATATTTCAATTGGTGAAGAAAGGTGCGTAATAGACTGATACTCTATTTGCATATATTTTGGTTTTTCAAGTACATCTCCCACTATAGAAGTCCATGTGACATGATTTTTTAACCATTAGAAAGCTAAGAGGAGGGGCTACAACTTTGATGTTTTCCTTTTTGTTCAATTCGAATGAAAAGGTGATCAAAATCTTTATTGAAGTGAAAGTACTATGCCAGAATTGTTTTCAAAGGATTTGAATTGTTTATTCCAATTTCTTCTTACTGCTTTTAATTGCCTAATCACCAATTAAAATGATTTAAGAATCTAAAAAAACTTGGGAAAGGGAGTTTAGTGTAGACTAAAATTGAGATAGCATATAATCATATTAATTGATTTGCGTATAGGACAAGAATATATCTGTAGGCCATATATAGCCAAATTGGAGCTTGAACTTAATGAGTCTATTTTAATTTTGATTCACATAGGGATATAATGTTTTGAATAAAATAGATATTTTTATTTGACAAGTTGGGAAACCTTTATAAATAATTAAAGACTTTAGGTTAGCAATTTAACCTATTGAAATAAGTTGAGGATGAGAGTTAAGATTGAGATGATCCTATTGAAATAAGTTGAGGATGAGAGTTAAGATTGAGATGAAGTGTGAGAGATATTGTAATCCTAAGTTTGTTTGATTTGCTTTTTACCCAATTATCTTATTGCTTTAATTTTTAATTAAATTAGTTTTAGTTGAGTAATTTTTAGTTTAATTAGAATTCAGATTTTAATTATTTGAATAAAACTAAATTATTTTAATTTTAGTACTTAGTAAAATTTATATCAATTCTTTGTAGGATCGATACTCTGCTTACTTATATACTATCTATTCAATATGTATACTTGCGTAGTAGAATTTTAACTGACAAGGTTTTTATGCTGTTGTTAAGGAATTGTTTTCTAGAATATTTACTAATACTAATACCAAGCAAATTTAGTCTTAATTCAAATTTTTTTATTTTCAAGTGCTTTTGGTTGAGGTGGTGACTTGTTATAACTATTAGTGGCCATCTAAACAATTTGTGCTTAGGATGGTTGCTAGTGATTATGAATTGGCTATCAGTGTTTTGACTGCACAAGTAGATGCTTTGTCTCAAAAAATTAACAATTGGAATGTTAATATTTTTCAAAGTCCTTTTGTGACATATGAACTTGTGGAGATGGGCATTCAAATTATTGTTGTCTGACCTATTATGAATCAATGCAATTTAATGGAAACTTCAATGGGCAGCAAAACAATTCATACTCCAATAGTTACAACTCAAGGTGCAACCATCCAAATTTTTCTTAGAGTAATGATCGAGGTCTTACATATTCATCACAACTTGTTTTCCATAATGGTTTTCAGTCACAAGCTAAATCTTTTATCCCTGAAAGGAAGCCTACCTTAGAAGATGTTCTCATGCAATACATGGCAAAGAATGATGCCATCATTCAGAGTCAAGTAGTTTTATTGAGAAATCTTTAGACTCATGTGAGACAACTTATTAATGACATCAACAATAGGCCTCAAGAAACTTTACCAAATGGCATTGAGCTTAATCCCAAAAAAGAAGAATATGGTAAACATCTAGGTGAGGTAAATGGCAAGAATGTGGTAGATCATGGAGATAAATTAAATCAAGAGAATACCTTCAATAAACAAGTTCAAGATGAAGTTAAGCGAGAATAGGAAGTATCTACACCACCACAAGTCAAGCCATATGTGCCTTCTATTCCTTTTTTGGATATAATTGATGAGTTATCTAAGTAGGCTGTTGATATGGAAAATCCAAAGAAACTCATGGTAGCTTGTTTGTTTCAAGATGCAAAAACCAAGGACCAGAATAAAGAACTTACAAATGTTGCATACGTTTTGAAGGCTACACCAACAGAACATTATTCAAAAAGAACTCAATTCGAGAAGCTGGATAAAAATTAGCTTATTCCACCACCTTAGGTTGAGCAAGTACCAAATCTTGAGTTAAAGTCACTACAACTTCATATTAGGAGGAGGCTACTATCATACCTTAAACTTTTTCCATGCGAACTTAAACTTCCTTAAAGGGTTAATGAAGACTTCAACCAAAGTCAAGCTAATGACTATAAAGAAGTGCTTATCGGGAGGCAACCCAACTTGTATCTTTTTGGATTTAGTTATTATTTTAGTTACTTTTTATTTTTCTATGTAAGTAAGTAGTTATAAACTCTCCTAGCTTGTTTTGTTGTGTATGTAGATTTGGAAAGCATGAAGATGAGGAGAAAGAAAATTAAAGCTTTCAAGGCACTGCCACAATTGATAAGGGACTTTAATTTTCTTATTTTTTTAGCTTTTTACACTGATGACAATGTGCAATTTAAGTTTGGGGGAGGGTTTTATTGCTATTAATTCTTGTGATGTTTTTAGGTTAGTTTATTTTCATAATTTTTTTTTGTTTTCAGGATTTATTTTACGAATGCTTGAGATGAAAATTGCCTATGCCATGATATTACCAATCGTAGGATGATATTTTGATTATCTTGCTATTTTGATTCTTTGTTTGATATAAACATGAATTGTGTGATTGTGATATTCTTTTGTTGGTTTCATTGTAGAATGCGATTTCCAATAATTTGTATATTAAATCTTTTAATTAGAATTATCACGTGATTTAGAGGAAATTTATGTTGATAAAAAGTATAGTGAAGTCAAGGATTCTAGAATTTGTTTGAATCTCTCTCAAGACAAAATTCTAGATAACACTTAGGATAGGACATGATTTAAGCCATCTTTGGACTGTTTGATCCTTTCAAGCTAACCTTGTTAAACTTTTATCCCTAGTATACCGCTTTGAGTTTAATTTTCCCTTTCTTTGTTTAACCACATGATAATAAGTTTAGCCTTAAAACAAAATTTCAATTTTGTGACCCTCACTCTTAAGCATGTATATTGTTTTAGAAAATATAGATTGAGCTAAATGTTGAAAAAGAAAGAAAGGCAGAGTTGCTAAAAAAAATTCAAAAATTGTTAGAATTCAGCTCACTACCTACAATAAAAAAAATAAGTTTGAGGGTGTGGAATTGTGATGAAAAAACAAAAAAGAAGAGAAAAAGAAGTGTTGAATAAAAAGAAAAAAGAATTGATGAAAATGGTGTACTTGGTAAAGAAAAATAAAGCTCTATAGGTCCTAAAATAATTATGTGCTTTGGGTGATATTGAGTCACATTATATCCTTTATCATACATAGACCCTAACCTTACATTATGAGCTTAATAAAGGCCTATTGATCTTTAAATAAGTGTTAGTCTACATTAGTGGAGAGAGAGATGAAAAGCAAACCTATGGAATTCTAACACTTAGCAAAATTTTGCATTGGCATAATCTCATCTAGATTGTATGATGCTCTTTGTAAAAAGATCATTTACACACACCTAAATATTGTGAAATCCATTTGAGAATGAACTTACAGTTGAATTGAGCATGAATTTAATGATTATCTATGTTTCACCTTGAGTCAAATTTGTGGGATAATTTTTGAGAAAAAAATGGGGAATTCATGCCTTGGTGAATTGTATCTCTAGGTAGTTGTTTTGATTTTAGTTCTTCCTCTTTGCTTAAGGACAAACAAAGATTGAAGTTTGGGGGTATTTGATGTGCGCATCAAATACATATATTTAATGAGAGATTAAATACCTAATTAGTCTAAGTTAGACTAAATTTAGGATCTGATTAGGTGTTTTTAGTTAATTTATTAGTTTAATTTAATTTATGTTTTAAATGTTTATTTTAAGTTAATAATGTTAGTTTTATGTTATTTATATTTATTTTTATATTTTGTAGGAGTAGGATCAAAAATTATTTCAATTGGTGAAAAATGGTGCTTAATGGACAGGTGCTTTGTTTATATATGTTTCTATTTTTCAAGAATATCTCCCACTAAAATATTCCAAATGGCATGATTTTTAGACCATTAGAAAGTTAAAAGGCAAGGCTACAACTTTTATATTTACTACTTTGCCAATTTTGATCGGAAGGTAGTCGAAATTTTTGTCAAAGTAAAAGTACTGCACTAGAAGAACAAAATTGAAAGCCGTGGTGCTCACTTATTTTCCAAAAATAACAAGCTTATAAGATTTTGGAATCAAGGACTTTTAAAGGCTATTTAAAGGATCTTTTTCAGAGGTTTCTAGGAGGAGGCAGCAAACAATTTCTCTGGAGAAAAAGAGCCAAAAATAAAGCAAAAAAGCAAGAGCATTTGAGGGAGAATCAAGATCACAAAACTTGAACTATTAGCTTTCTCTCTCTACTTTTTTGTTTTTCTTATTTTCTTTGACTTGGATTAATGGCTATTTTCCTTTGGATGAAGTTTTTATTAAATATTATGAAGTAAACTATTTTTCTAGGATTGCAATTGAACTCGCTTTTAATATGAATTTTTACTCTCTATCTTGCATATTTTCAATGGATTTGAATTGTTTATTTCAATTTGTTATTAATTCTTTTAATTGCCTAATCACCAATTAAATTGATTTAAGAACCTAAACAAACTTGAGAAAGGGAGTTTAGTGTAGACTAAAATTGGGATAGCATATGATCATATTAATTGATTTGTGTATAGGATAGGAATATACTTATATGTCATATGCAGCCAAATTAGAGCCTGAACTTAATGAGCTTACTTTTAATTTTAATTCACATAGGGATATAGTATTTTGATTCAAATAAATATTTTTATAAGACGAGTCGAGAGACCCTTATAAATAATTGATGACTCTAGATTAGCAATTTAACCTATTGAAATAAGTTGAGGAAGAGAGTTAAAATTTAGATGAAGTGTGAGGGATATTGTAATCCTAAACTTGTTTGATTTGCTTTTTACTCAATTATCTTGTTGCTTTAATTTTTAATAGAACTAGTTTTAGTTGAGTAATTTTTAGTTTAATTAGAATTCATATTTTAATTATTTGAATAAAACTAAATTGTTCTAATTTTACTGTAAAATTTTAAATCAATTCTTTATGGAATCGATACTCTAGTTGCTTATGTACTATCTATTTGATACGTATACGTGTGTAGTAGAATTTTAATTGACAAGAGTTGGTTGAGTTGCTATGGTATGAAGTATAAGGGCTTAGAGACAAGATCATCACACTAATGGCAACCACAGGAGGTGGTGTGCCAGCTACTCAATGGGGGACTTGTTTGAAGGTGCCCATGTCTAAGGAATTTCAAAGCAAGAGAGAAGCCAAAGAGATGGGCAATTTCCTATGGAGCTTGGAGTAATACTTTAAGGCCATGGCATCATGGAGGATGCTTTACAGATTAATTTTGCATCCATGTATTTGGTGGACATCAACTTGCTATGGTGGAGACATAGATGCAATAAGAAGCTTAGAGGAGCAATTATCAACACTTGAGTGGAGTTCTAAAGGGAGTTCCAAAAGCAATTCTACCCTAAGTATGCAAATAATGAGTCACATGGCAAATTCAAAAGGCTTTCCCAAAAAAGTGAGGTAAGAGAATATGTTAAGCAATTCTTTGAATTATTTTTACAAATTAACGTTCTCAATGAAAGAGAGGCATTCTTTTTTTTTTTATAGATGGGCTCAAACCATAGGCCAAGTTGGAACTCCAAACGAAAAGTGTGCAAAATGTCACAAAGGCTATGACTGTGGTGGAATCATTGGTGGATTTGCACAAACCTAACAGTAGGCCTTTTTTTTCAAGCCCAAGAAAACAAGCAGTGATAGTTAGAGGAAAATGTTGACAAAAAATCGCCACACCATCGAACTAAGGCAATCTCCAAATGAAAGGGCAAGGAAAGGAAACCTCTCAAATGTTTCTTGTGTAAGGAACCACACTTGACAAAGGACTACCCCATGCGTAAAAAGCTTGTAGCCATCATGATGGACAAAGAGGATCCAAGCAATGGAAGTGGCAACCAGCGTGTAGAGGACTCAATGAGCGATCACACCCAGAGGGCCTAGTATTGCATAAAGAAAAAGAGAAAGACTAGTGCAGTAACAAGGAATGCCATCATCCACAACTAGAGGAGCCTAGGAACGCACTGAGATTAGGCAGCATCATGTTGCACCTAGGGGAGCAACAAACAATAGCAGAATGTTGTATGGTTTGAGAGGGACCAAGATTAGTGGTGACGAGACTACCACAAACAAGGCTTAAGAAGCTCAAGACATAGGCATAAAATTGTCAAGACCAACCAAGCACTCATGAGACCAACAGGCCGAGGCAAAGAAAGATTGGTCCACAACAAGTGCTCAAGGAGACAATGCATTCCAAAGAAGTATGCGTAAGCCAAAAGTGCACAAAATGAGGTCGTTTGAGGCAAAGATGTGCGAGAGGAGGACCTCAACGTAACAGTACATCTATTAGCAACGCCCTCGTTGTTGGACTGAGTCAGGGATGATGTCATAGCTTAAAAGTTCAAACTAGTCTAGGTAGGCCATGCAGCCTAAGCAAGCCAAGCAGCCCAAGCAACCTAGGCGACCTAGATTAGCCAGACAACAAGCCTAGCTCACATAGTGTAATTTGATTTGAACTTTTGGATTTGATTATATACATTTAGATTTAGATTATATTATATTAAGATTAGGATTTGGATTTAATTTGAATAATCTCTTCAAATTAAATCTTTTTTCATTATCTCTATCTTATAACTTAATCTTATAACTTAATCTTATTTAACAAGGAAAGGCTATCAACCTATAAATATCCACATTCCCTTTATTGATAACACACCCCCAAAGAAATACAAAGCATTCTATTTCTCAAAAACCCTATCTCTCCTTCCTTTTTTTTTGCTTCTGCTATTTTGTGGGTTTTAAAGCTTACTTAATCTCTATTTCAAAATTTTGGGTCACACAAAATGGGGTTTAAATTCAAACACATGACAATCCCAACTAAGTTTGGAGGCCAGTTTAATTTACAAGGCTTATGTGCCATCCCAGTTTTTTCTCCCATTTTGGATTTTCTTTTACTCGTGGGTTTGTTTTTTATTTTTATTGATTTTTTTTTAATTTGATACACTTTCGGTGAAATTTTAAATTTTATAAATAGAATTAGAGAGACACAGATAACATTAGGTTAAGAAATTAATAAATTAATGTAAACTAAATTGATATGTGATAATATTTTAATTATATTTGTGAAATTTAAAAATTTTATTGTTGATATATAAAATAACATTTTATTTGATGAAATTGATAAGATATATGTGATTGAGAAGTTAGGGCCAGGGGACATCATTCAAAGGTGATGGTTCATCCGACCCTCCTTCTGGTTAGCTCCTTACCACTGGGCTCACTTCCCTTTGAAGAGTTAAAAGTTTGAATTAATCACCTTCTTTAACATCTTCGTCAAGTCAGAATGCTACCTTGTTTAGAGGTAATTCAAAGCCAATGCAACCTAAGTTAAAGAATCTAACTTTCTGTACCTCAGACAAAGAACAAAGGTAATTCAAGCATAATCTGCCAATTAATTATGCTGTAAATAGGACATTTTAGTATCTAAAGCACACACACAATTTCAGGCTATTGAATCTCCTTGAAGATATTGTTCATCTATATCATTAACACTTAATATAAAAATCAATTTTTTTTTTCAGAAAAACAACCAATCAAGAACTCTTGTGACAAGTTAAGCAGGCTACGTACCCTCATCACCACTTTATGAGGAAAAAAAAGTTGCATGAAATTGAAATTAATCTTGTCAAGGTGGATAGCAATGCCAAAAGCAATGTCAAAAGCTAGGGTGCAGATACCTTTACTAAAGCCTTGACTAAAGGCAAGTTCCAAGGCTTTACCAAAATTGGGATTAATTTCCAAAGTTTATAAGAATAAGCAAAAGAAAAAGAAAAAGAATGTTTAGCTTTTGCCTACTGTAGGTAGCAGCTGGATGGTGCTCCAAATTTGGATATCAACAGTTGTGAAAAAGCTAAAGGCTTTAACTTGACAGTTGACATCTCTTTGATTGTGGTAAGATTAGAGTTTGTTCTCTAACCCTTTTTCAATTTCTTCCCAAACATACCAACAAAAGAGTAAGAAAGTGAAAATAAAAATAGATTTTATAATTGAATTTTTTATTATTATTTTCTATATGGTTGGTGGAGTTTAAAAACTCCTCATATTAATAAAATATTAATAAATTAATGTAATATATAAAAAGACAAGTAGTACTATTTCAAGTCCACCCGTGAGACAGTGCGTAGAACAATAGTTTACAAATCTTTCTTTTCTAATATTTTTTTACAGTTGATAGGATATTATGCTTCGTTTGTTATTTAACATCTCAAACCCACACCCGTAAATGGAGATTGCTGTCACTTTGTTCTTTTTCTTTTGCGTCTTTGTGTTATTTAAAAGATCAAATCGTAGTCATATTCATTGATGAATCATCAATGCTTGACTTTAAAATAATGTTGGACAAGCGACCTGCTGAAGTTGGCAGGATCTGCTATAGCATGTAATCAGTGGTACAGAGAGCAGAGAGCCGAGAGAGCAGGAGTTGGTATTTCTAAAGAGTTTAGATGCCTGTGGCAAGTGATGACAGTGGTAAGATGATGTCCAAAATGGCTTTAGTTCCCTTTCATTATTTTCTACTCACATAGAATCCATAACTAGTAATTAATTTTTATAATTGTTGTAAATTTTACATCCTTATTATATAGGTGAATGATGATAATCAATGTATTTAAAATTAATAAATAAAAAAATATAATATTTGAAAAATGTTTTAAATTATTAAAAAAATTTAAATAAATTATTATTTTTTATTATATTTATTAAATTTTTATATTTTTATTTTAAATCAAATAAACTCTTATAATTAAAAAATAATTAATTATTATTAATCAAAATATCATTTATCATTTTATATTCACATTGTGGTAATATGATTTTAATGTGAAAAGGTAAAAAGTGTCACATAATTAGATCATCATATCACATAAACAACATATCACATCATCATATTACATTATCATCTATTATATTATATTAATATGTCACATCAATATTAGGTAATAAAATGAAAAAAAATATTTTGATTAAGTTAACTATTAGTTATAAAAATTTATTTGAATTAAAATAAAAGTGTAAAGATTTATTTGATTTAAAATAAAAATATATTAACTTGATTGAATATAATAAAATAATAAAATTTTATTTAAATTTTTAAAAATAATTTAAGAATTTTTTTTACTAATAAAAGTAATAGAGGGGATCTCAATGCACACAAAAAATCTGAACATGAAAAGAAATATATGGAGAGTAAGACATAGAGATAAAGATAATTACGAAATTGTTTAGACTGAAGGGAGGATAAGTTGAAAAGAAATAAAGTTTAAAGGTTTACTAAAACAACGTTGGGGGTGGGGGCGGGGGCCGGGGGGTTTAAAGTAGAAATCTTTTTTTGAAAGGAAAGAGGTGACACCACCTCACCCTTTCTAATCAAGTACGAGAATTTTTCTTTTTCAAGGAAAGAGCAGACTAGCTATACAAGTTACAAATATGGAGGAAAGTGGAAGCTCACATGTTTCCAATGTATAGAGCGAGCCAATCCTTTTTAAAGCAAACAAGCTGTGTTTTAATGTTCTAAAGTCATATTAATGATGCAACATTGTTGTTCTAGCTGCTATCCCTCAATTGGGGTGATAGTACAATTAATAATAAGATGGCCTGAGCTCATCAATGCTGAGTGGAGTCAAAACTCTGAACATTTTCTTACTAGTATCAATCATCTCTGCTCAAAAGAATGAGCATTTCATACATTGAAGAGATTGTGAAAACCTTACAATTATAGGTTTGGAGTTGGAAAGACGCAGAAGAGAAAGTAAGAGATATGTTTGATGAATCTAGGACGGTGTTATCTTCCTGAGGATTTTCATTGTGGAAAATATCATCATCAAAGGGCAAAAGCCAGTTGCCATATATTACAGTCCCAACAGTCAGTGATGTGTAATGCACTCGAGAACAATTTCTTCTTTAGTATCCGGATGTTGTTCATTTGTTACCCCTTTCCCATCTTCTCTGTTCTTCCCCCACAGCACACTATAAAGACCTCCCACCAGCAGGACAACCCCACCAATACTGCGTCAATGATTTTCAACATATGTGGAACTTTGTCAATTTTCATATGCTGGTAAGCTATTATATCAAATAATTGGAAAATGTCACGTAATGAATGGTCATGAATATATTATTAATGTAATATGCATGGAATTTTTATTTATATTAAATATAAATATTTTTTATATTTTTATGTCGACGTTGTATGTGTGTATGCATATATGTGTGTACAAATTAGAAAAGGAAAGTAATAATATGCACCTTCCCCAGTGAAGGGTTTCCTTCCACAGGAATGCAGAAAAGATGGCTGTTATTACAAGAGCTAGTGGAGTGAAAATTGCTGTGAAAACTGGACCTTTCTTCTCTATAGTCCAGACTTGCAACCAGTATGTGATGCCAGTGACAATTACACCCTGTCATGATCATTTTACAGTCAGCTAAAGACGCTAATAATTAATCTCTATTAGAAGCTCTGTATTTACAGGCTTACACATACGCTGCGTCTCCGGGAGTCCATATTTCCTACTTAGATAAGCACCCATGTTGCAGTGAAAAGTAGTGCAAGTGTTATAGTCACTATAGTTTGATTTGATAGGCTCAACAATTGAAAGGATTGCCATCATTTAGTGCTACAATTTTATTCTGATAGGACTTCTTTTCTAGGACATGCCACTGAAAGTGATTTAGAGAAGAAATGCTAGATTTTTTCTCTAGGCTGCTAAAATGGAAAATAATACTTGGTTTGATGATATTCAATTTATTCCAACGAATTAAGTGAAGCCTTCATATGATTGTTCTAGAGGAAAATTTAATTGCTGTTTTTGGCATAACCTGCTAGTAAAGACTATTTAATTTTAAGGATTTACTGATTATTAACCATATTATCATTTGGTGATAATGGGTGAGATTAACATACGCAATACGCTACAGAGAGAAGATGAACATCCCAGCCAAGCCTCCAGGCTGATGAATTTCTTGCTGCTGCAATGGCCCAAAGAGTAGATTGCATGCAGCTAAAGAAGCATTGCAGAGCAGTGAGGCGTATTTTGGCTGGATATTGTTTGACTATGCGACCCTAAAATTGAAAATAACAAGTAGTCAGGAAAATCATGAAGAAGACGAGGGAAAAAAACATGGGGCAGAAAAGGCATAATGAA